ATGATAGAGACTGTTCGTGCAAATTATATTTCCCGTTTACGAGGAAGTATCACCCATATTCAAGGGACATGTTTGTACGTTGACCGAAGGTCGCCAACGCATTTAAACACCACAAAGCTGATTTGGATGTTTAATTTCCTGTTTAGATTGTACTGACACATTCGCACATGGGAGTGTTTTCAACCTCATGCAAAATAATTCACTACAACTGTGAATCTTTAACTTTCTATCAAGGGAAATATATGGTGCTAAGCCATCTTCACAAATGAATGTTTATCTCATCACATGGCGGGTCCGTCCTGCTCTCTTCATTGTCATCCAGCTTGAGATTGCCCACGGAGGCCCACTACTTTTATTACTGCGGAATGTCGGGAAATCCCAATATTACAGTCGAAGGAATTCCCTTTCTGCTCACCTGTATCGTCACGCACAGGACCTTTACCGACTTCCGTGCATATGCATTGTCCAAACTACCCTTTGAAACCGAAGGCGGAGAATGAATGAAACAACAAGCGTACAGGCTCGCTCGCCTCGGTTCAGATTTTATGTCTTCGGGTTTCATTTCTAACTAGCATTTTTCAAACTGTGCTTTACCGTAATCAGGGTAGTAATGTTTGAGTTTGGGGGTAACTGACCATGTTATTTGAAACAGCCGCCTTCTCCCTGACATATTTCTTCCGGTTCGTAACAGTCTGACTTGTGCAGTTCTTTCGCCCCTTGCCTTAATTGACAGGTCCAATGAAGATTGTTTTGATCCTACTCTCCGTTGATTGGCTACTGACTGTGTGGGCGTGGAAAGTTATGTGCATAAATTAAACGATCACCTGATTCATGTCACGCCACAGTATGTATTCCTACACCTGCATTGTTTATCAATCTCGTCATATATGTCTGTTTTGATATATACAAATGTTTTTGGTTAAACTATTGTAGATAAAACATGTTTTACGTTGTCGAATGTCATTAAAGGCATTGACTGTGTATTTGTTTCGGTTCATTGAGGTATGAATCGAAAAACCGATGTGCAGACTTTTGTAAGCATCCTCTACGCGGATTCATACAGTTTGCACATCGGTTTTTCTATTCATACCTCAATGAACCGAAAAGAATACACAGTCAATCTTTAAATATTATTCTCAAACGTCATTACACCTGACATTTTTATAACATCAGCATCAAACAGGCAGGAATGTATGTCATCTACTTTTACAATTAAACTTGTAGGCAACACTGTTGATGATGATGATGATTATAACGATGATAATAAAATTAGTATTTGGTAAAAAAAATGGCAATTCTCTGTGGCAGTTGTAATAATAATAATAATAATAATAATGTCATGCAAAAACATACACAGACTGTAACTGTTAGGTTGTCTGTAAAGAAATGAGTATAATGCTGATATTAACAGCTTCAGTAACTGTTTTGTATGTTTTTGTATGAACGCTGTCATTCATAGTCAAGAGTTTGAAGAAAAAGTCACTCATCGATGAGGACACACAGTGTGATTACTTTTCTAAGCATGCATTTAAGCTCGTGGCAAAACATTTCCTCGTGGAAACATATTCAAAGCGGTTTCGTTCTTCAGGAAGACATGAAACACAAAGTTGACTACAACTAAAGAATATCAACCCCATTAAGCAAAGTTATTCATGGAATGTTCTCTGTACATGAGAGCCCGCAGTCGAACCCTAAGTGAAGTGTTCACGTGACCCAACTGAATCCGAAACAGACCAAATGAAAAAACAACTTCCCTGTTTCCCTATTTATGATCGATTGCAGTGACCGTCATTTCGAAGGTGGGACTCTCAACATGCATGTTGCGACTGTGTGGAGGATCTCTTACAATGCAGGGGAGACAAGCCATTCATATGCCGATGGCGTAGATCTTTTTCAGCACAAGGGAGACAACCCATGCATATCTCGGACCACGTTCCCCACAGCCATAGCGATCGTGGAGCTCTCTATACTATCGCTGCAGTCAAAACTGTGATAGGTGGCTACAACCATGCTTGTCGCAACCGGCCGACGGTTATGTTTACAAACAAGTGGTGACTGCCGTGACGCCAAATACTCTCACCCCTGCTAAATTATTTTCTTTGTTTGTCAATTTGAATTTCTATTTCATTTCAACTATCATTTAATTGGAATAGTTAGAATGTAAGGGATAAGTTGGATGATTTTCCGTTCGTCTTCAATCTCGAACCAATCTAGATAAACAAAACGAAAGGAAGATTCGTTTGGGAAATATGGTCAGTCGTAAACCTTACCAAAATGAACTATGATGGCATTCCCAAAGACAAAAACAAAAGAATAAGCATTGCTACATTTAGGGTTAGAGGGCACATTTCAAGATTCTTGTAATGTCCGCACCCACAGTGGTGGCAGTGATGTTACCGAGAGTGCAACGAAGGATCTCTAACAACACAGGGGAGACAAGCCAGTCATGTAGCGATGGCGTGGATCTGTTACAGCTCAAGGGAGACAACCCATGTATGTAGCGACTGTGTGATAGGAGGTCAAAACCATGCTTGGAGTTGAAGTTGCAACCGACTGACCGTTATGTTAAATGCCATGTAAAATGAGGTTTAACACCGCTTTCAAGATGTTTTCATAAAGACAGTGTTTGTTTGTTGTTTAACGCCGCACTCATCAGTATTCGAGCCCTATGACGGCATTCTGTAAATAATCGAGTTTGGATTAGTAATCCAGTAATCCTGGGATACGATGACATGCATCAACCAAGTCCGCGAGCCTGACAACCTGATCCCGTTACTCCTCTCACGACAAGAATAGTCGCCTTTCATGGTAAGTTGTTGATAAAGAGACGCTGAGATGGCCGGAACAAATCAAAGAATCGAGACCTGAACCGATTCTACTCCATTCACTTAAGGATTGAAGTCGTATTTGTTGACCTTCATCAGCTGATGAAGACAGTGCCTCACGTGAGCAAATTTATCATGAAGCGCTTCAGATGGACGATCCATTTCGCTATTACTTCCTGTTTTATGAAGTACGATTTCATAATTTCTTATGGTTATTTTTATACCTAAACGTATACAGTTTCAATATCGATATTTCTGTTGGAATAGTTTAGTTCCTCGTGAACGAAATACCACGAACATACATTGGACTTATCCCCAGCTAATTCTCACCTAGAATGACTTCGATAACGTCGGAGAAAGACGTCATTTGTATTTGTATTTAAGGATTGAAGTTGTATTTGTTGACGTTCATCAGCTGATGAAGACAGTGCCTCAGCTGAGCAAATTCCATATACTGACAGATACATAAATCATAACAAAACAATCCATTAAACATCAAACTTTAATTATTGAAAGCGAACTATGTGAACGCGGAGAGTCGTGACGTCGTGACGTCATCCGTCCCAAACATTCCATTTGGAGTGACATCGTTTTTTTACAAACGGCACAAAATGGCGGCTACCGCAATGTCATTCGCTTGAAATATAAGTTGCCCCCAGTAAAGTTAGCATTGGAATTGGAAAGAAATCCAGACCCGGCTCATGCTGAAAATGGATACATATTAACGTTCTGTGAACTTTTGGTGCGTGTTTGAGTCATACTACGGCTGCTGATGACGGGGATTACCGCTTGAGGCGGCGCGGTTGGATTTACTGAGGCACGATAGTCTGGAGCTCGGTGATTTCTTTTGGAGAGTAGTGCATTCTCTGTTATAGCTTCGAATGGACGCTTCATTTCGGTGACCCGACATATACATGATCTGTCTGACTTCAAAGCCTGCAAGGCGGTCGGGTAGCCTGGTGGTTAAAGCGTTCGCTCGTCATGCCGAAGACCCGGGTTCGATTCCCGACATTGGTACAATGTGGGAAGCCCATTTCTGGTGTCCCACGCCGTGATATTGCTGGAATATTGCTAAAAGCGGCGTAAAACCAAACTCACTCACTCAAAACCTGCAATCATTCATCACCTAAATCGATGTTGCTCTCAGTTTGTTCCCTAATATTATTTTTAATGTTATCTTTAGACTTTGGGAAATTCCCCTAAAGTAGTTCTTATTGTCTACGTGCGATTGACAACGTAATCATGTGACATAGTGACGTTCATTGAGAAATGAACGACAGTAGCTTGGTAGTGTTCAGCTAGGCGACTCACCCGCTGCTGTCAATATAATAAATTGATGCCACATCGAGTGTGGAGTATGTGCCTTATGTTGTATGCTTTAGTGTAACTTGGTCTACTCCCAATATTGTCAGGAAGGGCATGGCGATATAAATAAACATCAACTGTTGAATTGTGAAGAGCGTTTTCTACAGAGAAATGTTATGTACGAAACGTTGTTGGAATCAGTTATGCTAGAACGGTTTATAAGACTGGAAGACTGTAAGGAAGGCGCTACAATGGTCACACTCCGAGGTAGTATCACACATGTCGTGGAGGATATGGACCTTAAACTGTGCGACTAATTCTTAAGCATTGTGTCAAAAGAAATATGTTCATGGAACCTAAAATCTATACTATACCTGTGAAAGAATATCAGCATGAATTATAATCCATTCTAACTTACCTGTATAATCTGACAATTCATTGTTCATGTACATACATGTAATGCGTTGTGTTAACAATATGATAGTATTTGTAATCTCCGACACTATTGGAAGAAATAAAGAACATTCATCCATCCATCCATCCATCCCTCCATACATCCATGCATCCATCCATACATACATACATCCATCCAATCCTTCCATCCATCCATCCATCCATCCAATCCAATCTAATCCATCCATCCATCCATCCAATCCAATCTAAGCCATCCATCCATCCATCCATCCATTCATTCATGAACCGAGGCAGGACGCTGAACAATACATTGTCGTTCAACTCAGGAGACTCGCTGCTAGGTATACACGTCCCGAGGCAGTGCGCTGAAAAAACACTATAGTTGGGGTTGTTTTTTTGGCAGTATGATGTATGCGCGTAGCCTACTGTAGAATTGTATGTATAACACAATACTCATTCATATTGCAGTCACTTTATTTCAGAACAAAACATCTTATATGGGTTATGCATTGTAGATAACAACAATAAAAAGTAACCGAGTACAATAATTGTCCTGAATGGTTACAATTATTGGATTTCTATATCAGGTGAAATATGAATGTTTCGAAAACTTCTAAGGTAGAATGAGCAAAGAAAAGTATTGTCCTTTATATTATTAAAGGTTCATTATTCATGTCCATGCATTGGAATAGGATCTTCAACTGCTGTGCTGTTCTCGTCCATCAACAGGGAGCCAGGTACTTGTTTCCCCATCTTTACAACAGTTGCAATGGTTTTGTTCATCTTGTGGATCGGCTGGTTCTAAAACAGACAATTTTTCCATGAGCGAACCTTACATATTTCAATAATGCAGAACTAGAGAATATCACCATCATCCGAGAGTATTTTTTTATCAAGTATACCAACACTTGTCGATAAAAGTTTAAAACACCTCGATACACATAGTAGTTAGAAGTAGGTCTGCAAAACAATCGGGTGCAATTCTTTGTAGCAGTATCTCGCCTGATCTCACACCATGTAGATGATGGAAAACAATACTGCCATTGTGACAAAATATTGTGCCACGTATAACTGTGTTCCAAAGATATTTGAGCTGTTACCAGTTCATAGTCAGAACGCCTCCAAACCTGTGGTCACTAGCGGCTATTGCAGTTGTAAATTGACGAAAGTTACAACACACCGAGATAAATAGACTAAAGTATTTGCTTTATTGGTTGTGTAAGACACGCATCTATTTTGCTATTGAATGTTAGCTAGACAAGAGCAGAATAATTTTTATTCCTTTTAGCAAGATACAGGTTACACCGACGACCGCAATATTTTTTTTATTTTTTTTGGGAAGCGAAAGAACGAAAAATAATGTTAGTAACGTCATGAAGTAAGAACTTGTTTACTCACAAAAAAGCCATTTTCCCGTGGACCCCCAACCCGTTGCCACGCCCACATATCTGATCAGTGTTGGAGATGGGTCTCTCCAAGACATGAACTGACGTCTCCCGACCTCTGTGCCAGCACCAACGGCGATTGTACCATCGCTGAAGCTGATCCAGAAGGGCAGGTGCTTGTTCCCTGATAGTGGAACGTGACGCGCAAGCGCAAGGTTTCTCCCTTGCTTCCTGTCTCTGATGACAGACTGGGTGTTTCCCCAGCCTCCGATGACGATTTCGTACATGTTTTGGTCGTAGTCGCCTTTGTTGCGTAGTAACGCAATGTGAGCGTCATTGGTAGTCTTCACCCAAAAGGTGAAGGATGTTCGTCCATTGAGGTGAAATCCACGGTCATGGACGGAGTGGTAGTGGTAGTCGTTGGCCGTTTCCAAACAAACCAGTGGAAGGATGCGCTCTGCAATAGGAACTTTGGAAATACAGTTGTGTTATTGTGCTTATGTTGGAGAGAAAACAGATTCGGGCTAGTTTTGGTTCTTGACTAATGTTTATACAGACATCCAATCGTTTCTTTTTCTGGTCAGGTAGTAAATGCAAAACAACAACACATATTCATCCCATATTCAACAATATTTAAAAAAGCAAACATTTTGTCAACTAAACTTCTCTTCATATACTTAAACATGCCCAGAAGTGCACACGTAGCCCAGTCGTCCGCTTGTATTTTTATTGATAAAACGTTTTAAAAAATGGCTTTATAATCGTCACCATTTCTGCAATATTCACAGTGAACGTGTCTACAATCAGCGCATGGCACGCTGTGAAATACCCTACAAAGGGGAATAAAGCACAACTCAATCCATCAACCAGGTACTACTTCTGACGGTGACGATAAGTTACTTACCAAACTGCCACAGTCCCGTTGACCCCCATCCAGTAGACACAGCGATGAACCTGACGGCGTGAGGGGAGGGGTCTCTCCACGACATGAACCTCCCAACTCCGACCTCCGTCCCCGCCCCAACAGAGATCACACCATTCTCCCAAGAAATCCAGAAATCACGGAACTGGGTTGCACTCAAAGGTGTGTGGCGAACTGTTACTCTGTTGGCGTGCTGCATGCCTGTTCTGATGACTGATTGGGTGTTGCCCCATCCGCCAATCACCACCTCGTATATGTTCTGATCGGTTACTCCATCATCCCGTAGCAGGGCCAGGTGAGCATCGTTTGACGCGCGGACCTTGGAGAAAGCAACTTAACTTTACAACGGGGAATTTATAGAATATTTTGTTCTTATGATCATTCTCTTACCTATAAAAAAACATGTAGCTGGTTCGAACTGATAACATTTGTACTGACCGTTTACAAAGGAACTGTATAAATTCATGTGTAAACATATATGACAATGTGTTAATTCTTGGTTGATTCAATTTGGTCGGGATGTCAATCGTGCCATCGGACCTGTGCATCATTCTTTGGGCGTTAGTTTTAATAACAACCACCGGATATTTTAGGACTACTTAGCACATACTCGATTATTTACAGGCTGCCGAGATATAGCTCGAATTAACTGACGGTGCAATAAACAACAAACAAACAAAGCTTACCTTGAACGTGAATGACGTGGCTCCAGGCGCCAAATCCACACCCAGATTATGAAGCGACTGGTATCGGTAAACTGTGTTCGTCGCAAGTGAGACATCAGAAGACGGGGCTGATCCACATGTATTGTAGAAAATAATACCATTAGACAAAGAAAATACCGATAATTAACGTTTTCTATTAGATTTCTGTTCAGAAAATGCAGCCCTAGCTTAACGTTGCAAATTTCACATACTGAGTATAAAGGTGAAAACAGATTTAAAATTGAGAAACGGATATCACAAAAAAAACATTTCTTGTCATTCACATCATTGTTTACTGCAGACGGTGACAATAAGCTACTTACCAAACTGCCACTGACCCGTTGATCCCCATCCAGTAGACACAGCGATGAACCTGACGGCGTGAGGGGAAGGGTCTCTCCACGACATGAACCTCCCAACTCCGACCTCCGTCCCCGCCCCAACAGAGATCACACCATTCTCCCAAGAAATCCAGAAATCACGGAACTGGGTTGCACTCAAAGGTGTGTGGCGAACTGTTACTCTGTTGGCGTGCTGCATGCCTGTTCTGATAACTGATTGGGTGTTGCCCCATCCGCCAATCACCACCTCGTATATGTTCTGATCGGTTACTCCATCATCCCGTAGCAGGGCCAGGTGAGCATCGTTTGACGCGCGGACCTTGGAGAAAGCAACTTAACTTTACAACCGGAATTTATAAATAGAGCCACTTTTCTTTATTATTTTCTCATGTAATAACCGCGATCAAACATTGACTTGACTGTCAGTTTACACAGGAATCCAAAATAGTGATTACCTATATGAACAGATAATGACATGGCTTCAGTCGCTGGCTTACCTAGGGGCAGTGGGGTGGGTAGTCTAGCGGTTAAAGCGTTCGCTCGTCACACCGACGACCCTGGTTCGAATCCTCACATGGGCACAATGCGTGAAGCCCTTTCCTGGTGTCCCCCACCGTGATATTGCTGAATATTGCAAACCGTACTCACGCCCACACACCCTGGCTCACCTTGAACTTGAATGTCGTGGCGCCAGGAGCCAAATCTACGCCCTGTTCGTGGAGGGACTGGTAGCTGTAAGTTGTGTTAGTCGCAAGTTCCACGTAGGCTACGCCACATGTAATGTAGAAAATGTCACATTAGAAACGTGAAATCCTTATCTTTTAATCAAAAGAATCGCAGCAGCGTATCGAAAATGCTTATTCTATGTTAAGTTCACAGATTTCTAATAGAATATTATATGAGAGTAGGCTAGTTACTTAGTTACTTAGGTCATCTGGTGTATCACAAACACCCTTGCACAAACCATAATGAAAGTTTACAATAAAACACAATGTATTCATGTAGAATGTACGGCACCATTGACCTTTACTTTACTTAACGTTATGTTTAATTACAATAAATTAATCTGACGCAACTTACTGACGTTATACCCTAATACAACGAAAACTCAAAGGACTATAACATGACGTTAACGTCACAACACCCTCATCACTGGATGGTAATATCACGTCTTCAACATTGAAACTCATCAGGGCACTCGCACAGGCACAGCCAATGTATGAAATAGAAGGTGAGGTGGAAGCTGATAGTCCAAAGATTAAGTCTGCAATTCTGGTTTTTACAGAAAATGTGACATCAATCTAAACAGTGAAAGGTGCTCTCCCTGGATGCACATAAAGTTACTACGAACATAAGGTATATATAACCTTTTGACAGAAGGTGGCACTGACCTATTAGTAATGACATCACAAACATTAGGTACATATTACCCTTTGGCAGAAGGTGGTACTGACCTATTAGTAATGTTACCACGAACATAAGGTACACATTACCTTTTAGGAGAAGGTGGTACTATTAGTAACGTCATCACGAACATAAGGTACATATTACACTATGGCAGAAGGTGGTACTGACCTATTAGTAATGTCACCACGAACATAAGGTACATATTACCCTTTGGCAGAAGGTGGTACTGACCTATTGGTAATATCATCACGAACATAGGGTACATATTACCCTTTGGCAGAAGGTGGTACTGACCTATTAGTAATATCTTCACGAATATAAGGTATATATTACCCTTGCAGAAGGTGGCACTGACCTATTAGTAATGTCACCACGAACATAAGGTGCATATTAGCCTTTTGACAGAAGGTGGTACTATTACTAACGCCATCATGAACACGAGGTACATATTGCCCTTTGGGAGAAGGTGGTACTATTAGTAATGTCATCACGAACATAAGGTATATATTACCCTTGCAGAAGGTGGCACTGACCTATTAGTAATGTCACCACGAACATAAGGTGCATATTAGCCTTTTGACAGAAGGTGGTACTATTACTAACGCCATCACGAACACGAGGTACATATTGCCCTTTGGGAGAAGGTGGTTCTATTAGTAATGTCATCACGAACATAAGGTATATATTACCCTTGCAGAAGGTGGCACTGCCCTATTAGTAATGTCACCACGAACATAAGGTGCATATTAGCCTTTTGACAGAAGGTGGTACTATTACTAACGCCATCACGAACACGAGGTACATATTGCCCTTTGGGAGAAGGTGGTACTATTAGTAATGTCATCACGAACATAAGGTATATATTACCCTTGCAGAAGGTGGCACTGACCTATTAGTAATGTCACCACGAACATAAGGTGCATATTAGCCTTTTGACAGAAGGTGGTACTATTACTAACGCCATCACGAACACGAGGTACATATTGCCCTTTGGGAGAAGGTGGTTCTATTAGTAATGTCATCACGAACATAAGGTATATATTACCCTTGCAGAAGGTGGCACTGCCCTATTAGTAATGTCACCACGAACATAAGGTGCATATTAGCCTTTTGACAGAAGGTGGTACTATTACTAACGCCATCACGAACACGAGGTACATATTGCCCTTTGGGAGAAGGTGGTACTATTAGTAATGTCATCACGAACATAAGGTATATATTACCCTTGCAGAAGGTGGCACTGACCTATTAGTAATGTCACCACGAACATAAGGTGCATATTAGCCTTTTGACAGAAGGTGGTACTATTACTAACGCCATCACGAACACGAGGTACATATTGCCCTTTGGGAGAAGGTGGTACTATTAGTAATGTCATCACGAACATAAGGTATATATTACCCTTGCAGAAGGTGGCACTGACCTATTAGTAATGTCACCACGAACATAAGGTGCATATTAGCCTTTTGACAGAAGGTGGTACTATTACTAACGCCATCACGAACACGAGGTACATATTGCCCTTTGGGAGAAGGTGGTACTATTAGTAATGTCATCACGAACATAAGGTACATATTACACTTGTAGAAGGTGGCACTGACCTATTAGTAATGTCACCACGAACATAAGGTACATATTACCCTTTGGCAGAAGGTGGTACTGACCTATTGGTAATATCATCACGAACATAGGGTACATATTACCCTTTGGCAGAAGGCGGTACTGACCTGTTGGTAAGGTTATGTCTAAATGAACGTAACTATAAGGAGTCACAGAACAGTAACTTGCCCTATTGTGTCAAGCATCGTGTCCGATCATGTGATTATTCGGGAGTCTCTCAACATTCAGCCTTAAGAGTCCCAGGCTTATGGTAGAACCATTGGCCCTAGGGTACAACTGCTCAAAATTATTGCCAGTGACAGAAGTGATTTGACGTTAATGGCCCTCTGCTCAGCCTGTGACCTGTGTGAAGTACAGAAGAATCACTTTACGGAGCTCGAGGGTTGTCCTAAATACTCACGCAGACAAATCCCGTTAGCAACAGATGGAACCAGTGCAACAGCCACCAGCGTCGTCAGCAACTGCATCGTCGCCATCCTTCTTCCTGCAATACGTACAAATTGGTGAGTGCCATGTTCACTTATCTAATGACCGCCTATTGTTGAGTATTATGTTCGCTGTTATAACGAGTACATATTGTTGAGTGTCATGTCGAGGGAGTGGGGAGATCAAATATCGTCACTATCGAGGTTTCTGATAATGCGGTATCACCATTTGCAACTTTGTCACCCAGACAGGGGCGAATAAATGAAGACGTGGAGACGCTAAAACAAATGGCTGTTGTTCTGATTTTTATTCAGGCTATCCTGCCGACAAATTGTTTGTGTAAACCCCATCAAGATATCGAATATATAGAGGATAGTTCATGTGTCGAGTGAAATATTTTTCTCTCATCAAGTGACGAGGGCAAAGTGAAAAAAAACACTTATATTTGCGACTTAAAAGGTAGTTTTGTGTTTGCGAAAATTTTAAATCTATAAAAAAAAGTAGCAAAAAATATTCAGGGTCAAGAAAATTCTTTATCATATATATGACATAAACAAAAGTATCAAAAATTACAGTTTATAACGAAACATTTTCAAAGAATAACAAACAGCAAGACGCGATATTAAATCCAAAAATGACCATCGGTCGTTGTCATGCCTTGTCAATGTAAAAACGTAAGAAGGACGTCAACAGTTTGTGTTCGGTCTAGACACTTTCGATAGGAGGTAACTCTTGTATGACAATAGTTCCGTCAAGCTGTAATGTTCACTGCAAGTGAAATATCAAGTGTTATTTACACTGCAATGAAAATATCACTTTTCGAAAACTTCAGAAAACTCAGTCTTTCACATTGAAGCATATAATAAAAGGTTAAAACAGTTTATGTACTGATATGTTCAATATCTTGATGTGATGTATAAAACACTTTGTCCGCGGGATAGCATAAATAAATGGTGAAGACAAATGTGCATGAATGATATTTTTGTATGAACAAATAACGATATAAGGCTATAAGAGTTTATATACCGAGTTTTTTTCTGAAGTTGAGAAAAAGGATATTGTCAGGAATGAAAGGAACATATCACTTGATATTTCACTGTAAATTGCTCATTTAACCTCGAGACGGTTCGTTTCGCAAAACGCCGTTATTGTTACTTGACCAGCGTGTATTCTTTACCTTTCAACAGAGGTCTCGAAGTTTCAAGAATATCTTTTTGTTACTGCTGATTTGTATATAATCATATATATGATAAAGAATTTTCGTGACCCTAAATATTTTTTGCTACTTTTTTATATATTTATAAAGTTTTCGCAAACACAAAACTTATTTTTAAGTCGCAAATACAAGTGGAGGTGAATCGTCCCCTTGTGTTAGGTAGGGAGAATTTCATTTCAAGGTTTTAAATTTGTAATGAAATAATTTAATTTTCCAGTAGACAACTACACACAAAGTATATAATAAATAGGATATTCCATGTGTCTCGTTAAATATCATGTTTCTTTTATCTCGTGACGGGGCAAAAGGAGATATTTCTTGAGACACATAAAATATCCTCTATATATCGTAATTTGTTCACCAAAAATATGATTCATGTGTATTAATCTTCACTTTGATGAAACAAAAAATTATGCATTTTTGTTTCCATTTTCCGCTAGTCTATCAACTATTTTGTGTTTCGAATATGATCAGTGATGGGAGCGGTTTGACTCTACAGTTCGTGGTTTGTAACACAAGATGACGTGGAATCACATGAATAACAAAATAGATACAATATTTATCGATGTCAGTAAAAACTGTTCGTGGTGTGGTCAGATTGGACATTTTCACGATTAAATTATCCACATAACATTATATACACGTGCAAACATAACTGGAATCACATACATTAATTGATAACTGATAAATATTAATCAATAATGGTGACATGAAGTATATTTCTTCACAGATTGATAAGTCTGTGCACACAAAAAAGTAGTTTTTCAGCGTTCAGTTGTTTCACAAAGCGCCTGTAAACACAATCAATACTCGGTAGAAGTTGTTTTGTCAATACAAGTTTGATCACTTCTCATGAAAGTTAAGTGTAATATTTCCAACATTTTAAAACATATCAAATTGTAAGAGGTTACAGATACATTAACAAGGTTATCCCTTCCTATGTACTATCGACTATCCGTGATAACATGTGTTTAACTAAACATATCAGTACGATAGTGAATATGATTCTGTTTCATACCTTAAGTGGTCAAACGTCTTCGCACTGTAGCCGGCGTCAGCTGAACGTTTTGTTTGTTGCATCACCGTGACTTATATACAGTGATGACCCGGATCTGTGACGGACGAACGTTTTTTCACGCCCACTGAAACTGTCCAGGATTTCTTGGAAACGCCTGAGGTGTTATGCATAACCGTCAATCTGAGCGTTCATGTGATATATTGTTTAGTGTGTTGAAGATTCCGGCCCAGTTCCATGAATTGCACGCTCCGCCGGATCCCGAAACTACATGAAGCACATATATGACGTCAATCTATTGTTTAAACGATGCATTATTTTGCACGTATAGACTACTGGACGCCAATTATGTATACTCTGAACTAACGGAACTGTTTGTATTTTGAAAGTAAAATGAATTATTTCAAATTTTGTAGAAAAAATGAGGCGCAAGCGAGACACTGACCCGCAGTTTAAAATTTGGAGACGTCTAAAAGTCGACCTCATATAGTGACAGAAAAATGTAACAATAACTAATAAATAATTTCAAATATTTGTATAATTATTAAAAGCTCAGTAAATATTATGTATAAAGTTTTGTTACATTATGTTACCTGCAACGATGTTCATATACATGTAAATGTAATTACGAAAGGCTTTGGGGAGAAGAATTGACTGACTGACTGAGTATGGTTTTACGCCGCTTTTAGCAATATTTCACCAATATCACGGCGGGGGACACCAGAAATGGGCTTCACACATTGTACCCATGTCGGGAATCGAACCCGTGTCTTCGGCGTGACGAGCGAACGCTTTAACCACGTATTTTATGACAGTTTATGGAGTCAAAATCAATGCTGATTATTCATAAACTTAATGCTTCGTACTATAGGCCTGTGGCCTCTTCAGTGCTGAATAAAGATTGAAAATACATCAGTCAATCAAAGATGAAGGTAACTTTATACATCAGAGTTCTTGAGAATTAGTTCATGTTTTGTTCTTAGACTTACATTTCAACCATCGATTGTGTTCACATGTAGACTCAAACTGGTATATTAAAAAAATGTATACAGACAACAAAAACTGTATTAGAAACAACAAACTCTGTAAACTTTTAAGCATAGTTTTTGTATAGCATTTCAAAAGCCTGGTTTATTTGCTTTAAAATCAAAACAAAGGAATCTGTAATTAAAATGTGTAAGGTGAAAAAGCTTTTACATAAAAGAGCAAAATACATGGGGGAGAGTAAATATATAATTCTATATAACTTTTCTTGAATGGAGCACATTTGAAAAAAAAAGATAATCCAAGCATACTCCTTTTTCCTTTCGTTTTTCATAATCTTATTTTTTTTAAGTTGTATATAACGTATTAATCCCTTCTCAGATTCACCGCCAGCCCGATTGTAACAATTACATGATCACTTTGCTTTGTCGATGCCGGTTGATGTTGTTCAATACAGGCTGATAGTGGGTGTTTTTGAATCTATTCTACATGCTAATCATTTCGGGAAGATGATACACATTTCTCTATATTTTGGGTTACTTTGCTTATATAATTTCCGATTATCATTCTTAGTTTTACTTTTTCTCTTCTGCTGCGGTGATATCCATCCGAATCCAGGACCTTTGCATAGTCCAGATTTAAAGATTATATATCTAAACGTACGCAGTCTTACAGACAAAGTAGATTTTATCAGTGCTGAATTAGATAGTTATGATGTTGTATGTTTAACAGAAACCTGCTTGCACCATGATATTCTAGCCACTGATATTACACTGATACCATTTTTATATCGTAGCCTGTATTAAGGAATATATTTTAGATCTAAAATCAGAGTATAACGGACAGCCTGAGCTGGAGGCGCGCGTGGATATATTGACAGTTTTTACGTAGTTAGTGTTAAAACCGAATGTTTGCGAGGATTAATAAGATTTCTGAATTCAGTTACAACAGCAACCGTACATGTATTTGTTACATTAAGTCATTTCATTCAAATTTGTTTGGTATGATATATGTCTTATAATTATTTTAGGATGGAAGGTACAGTTACCAAATAAAATATGCTGAAATATCAATTCATAATGACCATATTTCATAATCTATTTTTTAAAGTAACCCTCCTTACATTAAAGATAACTATTTTTGGAATATAGTACTTAAAGACATTGCAAGAAACCGAATAATCAGGGGGGAGACTTTATACTGAGGGGGGCGCGAAACATATCCGGCCGGGGGAGATTTTATTTCAGAACAGATTCTCCGGGGGAGAATCTGTACGGTATAAAATCTCCGGGGGGAGAATTTGTACGGGGGAGAGTTTATACCAGGACACCGGCCGTCCCTGGGGTGAAAAAAAACAGGAGACGCATAAGATGTCCTTGTTCAGGGCTCTGTTTCCTGTCGCACCTGTAAGCATATTGACAAATGTACTAGCGACTGATTAAGTCCTCGTTTAGGGCGCCATTACATATGAAGTTCTGGTCTATTTTTCAAATACGTTCTGCAAAAGAATGCTTTGTCACAGTCTAACAGTGGGATGTGCTGCAATGTTACTTGAATGTCTGCTCATATATATCCACTCAAATGTGTCTACTCGATTACCAACCAACTGTGTCTGTTAAACTGTTTATATCTACATATCTACTCGAATATATACTCGATTATCTATAATGTCCATTCCCGTATGTTCATCCGTATGTCAAACTCGTATATTTACTCGTCTAATGTCTACTAGAAAGTGTCCTTGAATGCCTACTCGTATGTGAACTCGAATGTCTACAAGTAATTCGTTTCCTATGTCTGCTTGATTGTTCATTCGAAATTCTATATATCGCTTTGTCAACTCGAATATCTACGTGAATGTCTAGTCGTATCTTTACTCGGATGTATCTACTCAATGTCTGCTCATATTTTAACTCGAATGTCTTCTGGTGTGTCTGCTCGTATATGAAAATCCTAATGTCTACACGAATGTATCACTGAATGTTTACTGGAAAGTGTACTTGAATGTTTACTCCAATAAATCTACTCTAATGTCTCCTCGAATGTCTGCTCCTATGTTAACCAGAACATCTACCCGTGTGTCTACTCGAATGTCTATTCGTATGTGTTCTCAAATCTATATCCGTATGTGTACTCGAAAGTCTATTCGTATGTGTGCTTGAATATCTATTCGTATGTGTACTCAAATCTTAATCAGTAGGTGTACTCGAATGTCTATTCGTATGTGTACTCAAAAATGTCTATCTGTATGTGTACTCGAGTTTCTATCTGTATGTGTACTCGAATGTCTATCCGTATGTGTACTCGAATGTCTATTCGTATGTGTACTCAAATGTCTATCTGTATGTGTACTCGAATGTCTCTCTATTCGTATGTGTACTCGAATGTTTATCTGTATGTGTACTCGAGTGTCTATCCGTATGTGTACTCAAATGTCTATCCGTATGTGTACTCAAATGTCTATTCGCATGTGTACTCGAATGTCTGTCTATTCGTATGTGTACTCAAATGTCTATCCGTATATGTACTCAAATATCTATCCGTATGTGTACTCGAGTGTCTATCCGTATGTTTACTCGAATGTCTATCCGTATGTGTACTCGAATGACTGTTCGTATGTGTACTGGAATGTCTATTCGTATGTGTACTCAAATGTCTATCTGTATGTGTACTCGAATGTCTGTCTATTCGTATGTGTACTCGAATGTTTATTCGTATGTGTACTCGAGTGTCTATCCGTATGTGTACTCAAATGTCTATCCGTATGTGTACTCAAATCTGTATGTGTACCCGGATGTCTGTCTATTCGTATGTGTACTCGAATGTCTATTCGTATGTGTACTCGAATGTTTATTCGTATGTGTACTCGAGTGTATATCCGTATGTGTACTCGAATGTATGTCTATTCGTATGTGTACTCGAATGTCTATCCGCATGTGTACTCAAATATCTATCCGTATGTGTACTCGAGTGTCTATCCGTATGTGTACTCGAATGTCTATTCATATGTGTATTCAAATCTGTATGTGTACCCGAATGTCTGCCTATTCGTATGTGTACTCGAATGTTTATTCGTATGTGTACTCGAATGTTTATTCGTATGTGTTCTCGAATGTATATCTGTATGTGTACTCGAATGGCTATTCGTATGTGTACTCAAATGTCTATCTGTATGTGTACTCGAATGTCTATCCGTATGTGTACTCGAATGTCTATTCGTATGTGTACTCAAATGTCTATCTGTATGTGTACTCGAATGTCTCTCTATTCGTATGTGTACTCGAATGTTTATCTGTATGTGTACTCGAGTGTCTATCCGTATGTGTACTCAAATGTCTATCCGTATGTGTACTCAAATGTCTATTCGCATGTGTACTCGAATGTCTGTCTATTCGTATGTGTACTCAAATGTCTATCCGTATATGTACTCAAATATCTATCCGTATGTGTACTCGAGTGTCTATCCGTATGTTTACTCGAATGTCTATCCGTATGTGTACTCGAATGACTGTTCGTATGTGTACTGGAATGTCTATTCGTATGTGTACTCAAATGTCTATCTGTATGTGTACTCGAATGTCTGTCTATTCGTATGTGTACTCGAATGTTTATTCGTATGTGTACTCGAGTGTCTATCCGTATGTGTACTCAAATGTCTATCCGTATGTGTACTCAAATCTGTATGTGTACCCGGATGTCTGTCTATTCGTATGTGTACTCGAATGTCTATTCGTATGTGTACTCGAATGTTTATTCGTATGTGTACTCGAGTGTATATCCGTATGTGTACTCGAATGTATGTCTATTCGTATGTGTACTCGAATGTCTATCCGCATGTGTACTCAAATATCTATCCGTATGTGTACTCGAGTGTCTATCCGTATGTGTACTCGAATGTCTATTCATATGTGTATTCAAATCTGTATGTGTACCCGAATGTCTGCCTATTCGTATGTGTACTCGAATGTTTATTCGTATGTGTACTCGAATGTTTATTCGTATGTGTTCTCGAATGTCTATCTGTATGTGTACTCGAATGGCTATTCGTATGTGTACTCAAATGTCTATTCGTATGTGTACTCAAATGTATATCTGGATGTGTACTCGAATG